CACAATGATCACTGCAGCCCCATTCATAACTGCCAAGTCATGGAAGTAGCCCAAGTGCCCATCGACCTATGAATGGAATAACAAATTGCGGTATACATATACCATGAAATACTATACAGCCATAAAAAGATGGAGACTTTTATGTTTACCTGGATGGAGCTGGAACATATTCTTCTTAGTAAAGTATCTCAAGAATGGAAGAAAAAGTATCCAATGTACTCAATACTATTATGAAACCAATATATAATAATTATACTTTCATTCAAATGATAAAAGACAACTAGAGTCCAGAAAGAAGAAGGGAAGGGGAGGGACAGATGAGGAGAGGGAGGCGTCAGGAGGAGGGAGAGTATTTGGTGGGACCTCACCTATTGTGCATAATGCAAGGGTACATGTCAAAACTTTTAAGAGTATAAATGTCTTAACACAACAAATAAGTGAGGTGAAGGTTATGTTAACCAGTTAGATGTAAGCATTCCAAACTGTGTATCAAATCAGCATATTGTACCCCATAAATGCATTAATGTACAGTTATGATTTAATAAAATAAAAAAAAATAGCAGAGTATAGATCAGCATTCCCCTAAGTGTGTACTATCTAAACTCTTAAGATATTCTAAATGAAAAGATTTATAGATTTATATTACAGTCTGCCTAGAAAATTCACAATATACAGTAGTATATAAATGATTATGAGTCATCCAATAGTAAAAACAAAACTTGCCTAACTATTTAAGCCCAGCATTTCTCTATTTAATCACTGAAGTTTTTCTTTTTTTGTAGCGACAGTCTCACTACATTGCCCTTGGTAGAGTGCCGTGGCATCACAGCTCACAGCAACCTCCAGCTCTTGGCTTAGGCGATTCTCTTGCCTTAGCCTCCCAAGTAGCTGGGATAAGAGGCGCCGGTCACAACGCCCGGCTATTTTTTTGCTGCAGTTTGGCCGGGGCCAGGTTCAAACATACCACCCTCGGTATATGGGGCTGGCGCCCTACTCATTGAACCACAGGTGCCACCCACTGAATTTTTTCTTAATAACATTGTATCTAATGGAATTAGTGTTCTTAGAAAATACTTTGGGAAACATCACAAAGTCTCTCTACTTTATTTCAAAGCTATTATCTACCCTACTCCCTCTAAAATACTATTAAGAGATTGGCAAGAGAGACACATATGGGTCAGGTTAAAAATTTAAAGCCCCATCAATAAAAGGATTTTGATATTAAAATTCTGGAACTTATACCTAATGAAATGCTGAAAGGTCTTTTATTTTATTGATCAGGTATTTATAATATATTTAATAACACAGTCTTTACAGCAGACTAATGCATTTTTTTTTGGACTTTTAAGTTTACAATAAAGGATGTTTAGTTAGTTACGGGAAAAAGGGCCAACATATTAACAGAAAGTATACTTTTGATGTTATGCTCTAAAAATTAGATAACTACTAAAATAAAAATTTTTTTTCTTTTTTCTTTTTTTTTATTGAATGGTAACTATGTACATTAATGCATTTCTGGGGTACAGTGTGGTGTTTTCAACTACAACTTGAAACATTTCATCAAACTGGTTAACATAGCCTTCATGTCATTTACCTAGTTATTGTGCCAAAACGTTCATATTCTACTCTTAGAAAGGTTCACTTGTACCCATGAAATTCTTTTCAATGCCTTTAAACAGCATTCAATTTTTTAAGAGCTGTGACAAGGCTGTGAGAACTCAGGAGGTACAGTGCCATTCCACCTTAGAGCTGAGGAACTTCAGATGCCAACATCCACAATCTTCACATAGAGAAACACAATGAAATGAATTCTGTGTTAGTATCTCAGTTCTGTATTCACCCTGTTCCACCCTGCTGCTGTATGACTGATAAACATCATAATCATATGCTACGTGCTAAGATTGTAGGAGGGAAATGTGAAATCACTGGACCTATAAAGACATTTTTATGCTGAGTAACCTTTAAAAAACAATGCTTCATAAAACAAAAGATACTTATTCATTAACAACAATGAAGAAGCCTTTACTAAGTACTCAGAGTAAGATCAGAGCTAATTAGTCAGCAGTTTTATACTTAGTGAATTGAACAACTAAAAAGTTTCTTTTCATCAACCTGTATGTATATAGAATCAGAGAGATCTTTGTATTTTAGCCATAGTCCTCTCTTTAATAACATAATTGACTGTTTTATTCCTATACTTCATAGTAGCCAGGAAGAAATAGTAACAGATATAACCAGTAACATTTTTACTATCCCAGATTAATCTAATTATATCATTCTCATTATGTAGGAAAAAAATACTATGTCACTGTTATGACAAGATCTCACAGGCCTGTGAGATACAGCCACAGGCTGTAGGACATCTTATGTTTT